ACACAATTTTTGAGCTCGAAATATAAACGAGCCGATATGCTCAGCTCGTGTTCGGCTCGTTTACCCCCCTAAACACATCCAATTGGCAATCTAACTAACTAATTCAATAACAGGTGAAAGTTGTTATTGAATATTATAATCTAGCTAGCAAGTTAAGGATTTGAAGCCATTCGTTGACTTTATCATAATTTGATAAGCTATGTAAAAAAAGCAAATTATTTGACCTTTGCAAATAGGTGAATAAGAGTTGCCAATGCATTACGACAAGCAGTTCTTAAGCATTGTTATATAATTCATAAAACTTGAATGTGATTATGGATGAGGTATTCTTAATAACACAATGGGAGAGTGATCATGCAAGAGAAATAATGATATTCATGAAAAAAAAAAAGAAATATGAGACTTTATTTAAAATAGTAACTTAACTAAAATAAAATATTAGTGTTACTAAGAAAGTCATAAAACCTAAAGGGAAAACATTTAAGCTACCCTCAATTTCTTAGAGGGGCCCATATTCCTTGCTCTGGCTAGATTTGCACCATTACGGACCATCTCCCTACCACCTCGAGTCCATCGTGCACTTGCTTATCCAAGCTCGGGCTAGCGCACGCTTTACAACTGCACTTCGAAGCCCCATCTACCCATAGCATTTAGCCTATTCCCAGAACAAGTTTTGATGGCTTTCCTTTTTGCTTTTCATCTGAATTTGATAATAATTCTTTTAATTAATATGAAAAATATTCACATAATGAATCTTATAAAATTCATATATTATGCTTCAAACAAATAATATGATCAACTAGCCTTACTTTATGTTATGTCACATCTTTTTTTTTTTAAATTTTACACTTAATTATTGAAAAGGTTTTGAATCGAAACATTATAATCAAATTTTCATACTGTTGAATTTATTTTGAGATAAACACAATTCAAAATTTTAATATTTTAAATAAAATTTTAAAATAAATTCAATTTTTTTGAGACTCATCAAATTAAGAGAAATTAGTCATAATATATTATGACTGAAACTTTTTCTTGGTTTAATATTATTGTATAAAAATAAGGGTCAATATAAATAAGTTGAACTTGAGCTAACACATAAGTTGATTGGCTCAATTTCTTATACGAACGACTCAAATTTATTATCTCACGTGTGAGCATTCAAACACAACTCGTGTGCACCACCTACTTCTAAACACAACTCATCCTCGAAAATATGTCAATTTCTTGCGAGAAGTAATCCATTATGTCATATTTTAGCACTTAATTGTTTCATTCGTTATGTCTTAGATGTAGCCTCAAATTATTTTATTTTAATAAAATTTATTGAGGTTGATGTCTTCTTTATGGGATGTAATTAAGTAGGTCTTATTTTTGAACTTTCAAATTTTAACATTTAATATGATTTATGAAAAAAAATTATTTATTTTATCAGGATTTTAAGTATGGATATATTTTTTAAAAAATACCAGAATCAAAGCTATCAATAAATATAGAAGAGACACACGAGAAAGAAGAACAATGAAGTTTAAAATAACATCATTTAGATATTGAATCATTAAAAAATAAAAGAATAAATTTAGAAAATCTTCCTTCAAATCCTGGATCATATATATATAATTGTTAATATGAATAAAATGTTCAAGGGTAAGTTCGTCGAACATATGTTTAAAGAGTCATACATTAGCCGCGTAATCATGATTTTTTTAAAAGTAAATTTAAGAGCAAAACAAGGCATTTTAGCCCCAATTAGTTTTGATAGATACTCTAATTTACTAGAGTATAATATACTCATGATAAAGCAAATTATTTAAGATGTTATCTTTTTTAAACCGGTTGGACAAAGTAAATAAGAAAATGAATTTTTTAAGAAAATGAATCTTCAAATTAGAAGAAGCAAAATAGATTTGAAGTTAAAATTGGCGGTTCTAATATTACTCTTAATAATTGACCAACGGAAATATAGTTGTGTAAATTTTTGGAATTTGACTACGCTTTACAACTGTGCCAAAAACTTGATGTGGTATTTTATGAATAATAACGTTAAGCACTTAATGTTGGTATTCTATGCAAGTATATGTATCATTATCAAGTAATATATGACTTTTTTTTAAGTCCCAAATATCGATCTCACAATGAAGGTTTCAATTTGAAATGATAAATTAACTAGGAAATTCACAGAAGTAAAACGAAATTATTATCACTAATTTTGAATGTTTAAGATACTATCAAAGCTAAATTATTAACTACTAGCACAATTTAAAACTAGGGTTTAAAATTAATAACTACTAAATTTTGTTTATGTGATGAAGTTTTCTAACATGAAAAAACATATTTCTCACTACAGAGCTCCCACTTCCCTTAGGTTGTATTGGCTAATCTTAGGTTTAGTTCCTAAATCCGTGGCTAGGCTAGGAGGATACTGGCTCTCTCGCTTTAGTTTTTAAACACTAAGATCGAATTGGGGATTTTTAGTCTGTCACCCTAGAAATCTCTAATTTGATCTTAGTGTTTAAAAACTAATGTGAGAGTTAGCCTTCAAGGGAAAGGAAGTGGGAGCTCTAGAGTGGGAGCCATTATCCTCCTAGCCTAGCCACGGATTTAGGAATTAAACATAAGATTAGCCAATGATTTTCCATAACACTGAATCAGGGTAGAGAATTAAAATTGTTCGTATTTGGCACAATACATATTTAAACCATTTATCTCATCTCATTTCACCAAAAAATCATTGTAGTGAGAAATATGCATAACACTGAGGGGTTAGACCCTTGAATGCCTGCGCTTCATTAATGTTTAGTAGTTATTAATTTTCACCTGCTTTTAAATTCTGCTAGTAGTAAATAAGTTAGCTTTGATAATATCTTAAACTTTCAAAATTAGTGACAGTAATTTTATTTGATTTCTGTAAATTTCCTAGTTAATTTATCATTTTAAATTTAAACCTTCTCAGTGGGATTGATATTTAGGACTTAAAAGGAAATTCTTATATTGCTTGATGACGATACGTATACTTGCATAGAATACCAACGTTAAGTGTTTAACAATATTATTAATAAAATATCACATCAAGTTTTTGGCATCGTCGCAAAGCAGAGTCAAAATCAAAAAGTTTACACAACTATATTTCCGTTGGTCAAGTTTTTTGCGCCGTTGTCGGGGAAGGTAACGGTAAATTAAATAGATTTGGTAAATTAGAAAATTTAGAGATAAAAATATACAAAATACAAAAAAATCAAAAATATATATATAATTAAAAATCTAAAAAATATATAACTATATATTTAAGAAAATTTTCTTTGTATATTATATTTATTTATGTGAAATATTGGATCTAATGGTTTATGTCCTTACAATTCATAATTAGAACGTACTATTAGAAAAATTTGAAAATAACAAAGAGAAATTAAAATTTTGAACAATATGACGAATAACTTAGATAATCAAATAAATGAAAAGCGACAAAGACCTTTAAAAGATTATGCTAATCTAACAGCAGATAAACTTCACTTAACTATTCAAAATCCCGATGTTGCTGCTAATTCATTTGAGCTTAAACCTGCTATTATCCAAATGATACAAAATAATCAGTTTGGAGGAATACCTACTGAAAACTTACATCTTGCTAGTTTTCTTGAATTTTTTGCTACTTTTAAATATGACGAAGTGTCTAATGACATTTTTTGCTACTTTTAAATATGACGAAGTGTCTAATGATATTTTTTGGCTTAGAATTTTTTCTTTTTCATTAAAGGATAAAGTCAAAACTTGGTTAAATTCATTAGCACCTGGATCTATCAGAACTTGGGGAGAACTATCACAAAAATTCTTGGCTAAATATTTTCCAACTTTGAAAACCGCAAAGCTTAGAAACGATATTACATTTTTTTGTCAGTTTGAAGGGAAATTGATATAGGATGTCTGGGGAAGATTTAAGGATCTCCTTAGAAAATGTCCACACCTTGCTTTACCAGATTGGTCAATAATTCAAACCTTTTACAATGGATTAATAGGATCACTTAGATCTATTATAAATGCTACTGCAGGTGGATTTTTAATGTCAAAACATTTTGATGAAACATACTCTTTAATAAAAGAAATGACTACTAACAAGTTTCAATGACCCTCTGAATCAGTAAATCCTAAAAGAGTAGCTAATATTCATGACTCTGATGCAATGTCTATTTTAGCATCTCAAATTGCTGCTATATCAAAAAAGATTGATCAAATTGGAGTGAACTATTCTCAAATACCACCAATATTAGAATAAAATTCACTAAGACAGATAATTGATA